ACGAGGATGTCTATGCCTAGGTTGAAAGAATATGTCTTGATTGCATAATAGAGCCTTAAAGTTGGGTACCATTTGTGCAAATAAGCCAAATTAGTTTGAAGAGGGTCTTGCCTGTGACATATAAAGTTTAGTGGCACGAGACTCTCTCAATTACAGTTTTCAACTCTTTCTTTTGTCGCATCCTAATACATCAAACTAATACTTTGTCTCTTTTCTTGTTTGAAATTTTCCATATATAAGAACTAAAAGTGGGAAAAATTACATCATCAATCCTTAACCTATTACTTTATCATTTTTCTCCACAACATCCGTTTTCTCGCAGTGTAGTATCCAACTTGTACATTTCTCAGGGTCGCTTTTTTGTCAAAAAGCTCTCTACAATGCACACGCACATCGAGTTTAGATCTGTTGTCCCTATAAAATATGCATTTACTATATATAACATATTGGACATATCAGCACGTACATCAGCTCTTATTAGCCAATGGAATGACAGTTTCAAACGTAACGTGCCCCAAGTGTCAAATATTTAGTGGAAGGACAATAAAGGAGATAACACATTTCTACTCGGTACACATCGACTCATTAAAATAATTGGTATCACTTTTTCGTCAAAAAACCTGTTAACAATGCACGTACACGTCGAGTTGAGCTATATTTTCTCTATTTAGCACGTCGACTCTTACTAGTTAATAAAAATGCAAAAATTCAAAGGTCACGTTCCAAAATATCAAACTTTTTTGTGAAAAGACAATCAATAAGACAATAAATCGCAACTTCTTGATCATCAAATTCTCAATTTCTTAGGGGTAAAAACACAACATATTTTAGAAGAAAAAAATAGTTGATATTTCCTTTCCTCCAACACCCAAACCCACACCACCCCCACAAAAAAGTAGATTGTATTTAATGATCATGAACAAGGTCTGACCCTATCTGTCGGTCATCCTCTCGAATTCTTCGTTAATGTAAAAAGGACACGGCAAACGAGGGTCCCCTAAACAATTCAATGTGCCATAATTTTTATTTTATAATATTTGAAATTCAAATTTTAAAACCCCATTGAATTGTTTTTTCCCTATTATCGGGCTGCACAATTTCTCAACCACTTCTCTGACTCATCTTTATCTCTTCATTAAGATTTTTGATACTTGTATAAAATAATAATTCAGTGATCATCACATCGCATTAAACCTGCCTGCAGCATCATCGTACAATGTCAAATGTTTCCTTCATTGTTTGTGTGTGTTGTCTCCTACATTAATTATTTCGTTTGTGCGTGCAAGTATTAGAATGTGTAGACTTAGGATATATGATTACACAATCATTCATTATTAGGCAAAATCTAAAGTTCTTTAATTTGTTGGTTTGAATAATTCAAACAAACAATTTTCGATCCGTCTATAGTTCAAACAAATAACTGAATTTCAAAATTGGTATTCTAATACGAATCGTCATTTTGTAAAGCATGTGAAATTCCAATTTGGTTAAATGAAATCAATAACCAACATATATGGGTTTTGACACTCGCTGCTAACACTTGTTGATTTTTTTTTAAGATAGAATTCAAAATCTTTTAAAAATTGATCTTAATTTGACTATTTACATGTTCTCCGTGCTCTCAAAACGAGTAATTATTGAAATCACGCATATGTAAATAATATCTTCCTCGTCTATCCTATAAAATGACTAAGGTACGAGATAAAAAGGTTTGACAATCCACATCTAATGTTACATAGAG